GGCGAGAACGTGTCAATGGAAACAATTGTGTCAAGTCCCTGGATGTGGCAAGCGACATCACGCGTTACTACACCCACCCTGTGTATCTGCCAACAGCCCCGCACTGCAACGTGAGCCTGGTGCCAACGCTACGTCTGTTGTTACTGACCCCGTAGTTGCAGTCCAGAGTGCTGCGGTAGCGACAGGAAGAAGAATCAGTCTACAGATTGTCCCAGTGACCGTGAGCGGCGGCAATGGTGGACCGATTATTGAAACTTATGCATTTTTAGATAATGGATCTGATCACAGTTTATGTTTACACAGTTTAGCTGAAAAGTTAGGTGCCAGTGGGAAACCTATCCAGTACAGTGTCAGTACAGTTAACGATGAAAGTTGCGTAAACCAAGGACAAGAAGTACAGCTAGAAGTGAAAGCTATCAATAGCCAACAAGGATTGATTCTAGATCAAGTTTGGACGACCGACAGACTACCGATCTGTGAAAAGAACATTCCAAATAACTCCGACATTTCAGAGTGGAGCCATTTGAAAGATGTCCAACTGCCAGAGCTAGATGACAAAACAGTTACCATTCTCATCGGTAATGATCACCCTGAAGCTCATTGGCGCATAGAAGAGAGACGAGGCGATAAGAAACAACCGTACGCGATCCGAACGATTTTAGGATGGACTATATTAGGTCCCATGAAAAGACCAAATGATGGTGACGTCACGGTTAATTTCATTCATGCAGACCAGGTACTCGGATGTGACAATTCTCTGAGAGGCTGCGATTCCATTTCTACCCAGCTAAGCAAGATTTACAACAGTGAATTCAGTGAGTCTTCAGTTAGCAGCAGCCAATGTATGTCGTTAGAAGATAAGAAAGCGAAGAGGATCATGGATGAGTCCGTAGTATTTATTGACGGACATTACCAAGTTTCACTTCCTTGGAAGTCAGACGAGCTCTTACCCAATAACAAGCCAGCAGCTGAAAAGCGCTTGAATCTGCTCAAAAGACGTTTACAGCGTGACGAAAAACTACGAGAGAAGTATACTCAAGCTGTTCAGGAGTATATTGATAAAGGACACGCTCAGAAGATTGACCACAGAAATATGCATAATAACAGCAATTCTGTTTGGTACTTACCTCATCACCCTGTGATCAATTCAAAGAAGTCCAAAATTAGAGTTGTCTTCGATTGTGCAGCGAAATATGCAGGCGTTTCGCTGAATGATTCCTTGTTACAGGGTCCGGATTTAACCAATTCACTCATTGGAGTTCTCCTTAGATTCCGCCAGGAGAAGATAGCTATTGTTGCTGATATTGAGCAAATGTATCATCAAGTGAGAGTGCACCCTGATGATCGTGACGCCTTACGATTCTTATGGTGGCCGGCAGGAGATCTCAGCAAACAACCAGAAGAATACCAAATGTTAGTCCACGTGTTTGGTGCTACTTCCTCTGCAAGTTGTACAGTCTACGCTCTCCTCAAAAATGCAGAAGATCATGGAAAGGACTTTGATTTCCAGACCGTTGAAACTGTCTACAGAAACTTCTATGTTGACGATTGCTTAAATTCTGTAGAGACTGTCGATGAAGCTAAGAGGATGATCACTCAACTCACCTCATTACTGCAGAAAGGTGGATTTCATCTGACCAAGTGGATATCGAACCAGGAGGAAGTTCTATCCAGTGTGCCCACAGCGGAGCAAGCACCGTCGGTCAGAAATGTAAACTTTGACAAACAGCCGATAGAACATGCGTTAGGCGTACAGTGGAACATAGAAAAGGATACTGCGTCCGTGAGAGAGATATAAAGAATACTCGCAGAGGTATTTTGTCATTTATTGCATCGATATATGATCCACTGGGTTTTGCAGCGCCACTTATTCTCAAACCTAAACAGATACTCCAAGAATTGTGTCGGGAAGGCATTGCATGGGACAGTGACTTACCTGCAGAGCATCTTAATGCATGGACACAGTGGAGAGAAGGATTGGACAATTTACAAACAATTGAAGTACCAAGATGCTACAAATCACCTCAATTAGCAGATATTCAGTCCATTGAACTTCACCATCTTTCAGATGCCTCTTTATCCGGCTACGGCATTGTTTCCTACTTGCGATTTGTTGATATTAACCAGCAAGTATCTTGCAACATTGTCATGGGAAAATCACGTGTAGCGCCTCTGAAATCAGTGACTGTTCCACGAATGGAGCTGACAGCTGCTACATTGTCTGCGAAAGTTCACAAACAAATGATGGAGGAGCTACAACTGCCCATTCATCGTGTTGTTTTCTGGACAGATTCTACGATTGTGCTCCAGTACATTCGGAATTCCGCGACCAGATTCCAAGTTTTTGTTGCCAATCGTTTACAAATGATACATGATGTTTCATCCCCGTCGCAGTGGTATCATGTTGATTCAGATCAGAACCCGGCAGATTACGCTTCCAGAGGAATACAGCTCAGAAGTGATAACGGTGATGACATACAGCGTTGGTTACATGGCCCAGCTTTCTTGTACCAGCCCGAGATACACTGGCCGAAACAACCAGATCATCTACATGAAATTCCAGAAAATGATAGAAAAGTGAAACGTAAATCAGCTCATGTACATGTCANACTTTGATTTCCAGACCGTTGAAACTGTCTACAGAAACTTCTATGTTGACGATTGCTTAAAGTCTGTAGAGACCGTTGATGAAGCTAAGATGATGATCACTCAACTCACCTCGCTACTGCAGAAAGGTGGATTTCATCTGACCAAGTGGATATCGAACCAGGAGGAAGTTCTATCCAGTGTGCCCACTGCGGAGCAAGCACCGTCGGTCAGAAATGTAAACTTTGACAAACAGCCGATAGAACATGCGTTAGGCGTACAGTGGAACATAGAAAAGGATACATTTGGATACTGCGTCCGTGAAAGGGATGTAAAGAATACCCGCAGAGGTATTTTGTCATTTATTGCATCGATATATGATCCACTGGGTTTTGCAGCGCCACTTATTCTCAAACCTAAACAGATACTCCAAGAATTGTGTCGGGAAGGCATTGCGTGGGACAGTGACTTACCTGCAGAGCATCTTAATGCATGGACACAGTGGAGAGAAGGATTGGACAATTTACAAACAATTGAAGTACCAAGATGCTACAAATCACCTCAATTAGCAGATATTCAGTCCATTGAACTTCACCATTTTTCAGATGCCTCGTTATCCGGCTACGGCATTGTTTCCTACTTGCGATTTGTTGATATTAACCAGCAAGTATCTTGCAACATTGTCATGGGAAAATCACGTGTAGCGCCTCTGAAATCAGTGACTGTTCCACGAATGGAGCTGACAGCTGCTACATTGTCTGCGAAAGTTCACAAACAAATTATGGAGGAGCTACAACTGCCCATTCATCGTGTTGTTTTCTGGACAGATTCTACGATTGTTCTCCAGTACATACGGAATTCCGCGACCAGATTCCACGTTTTTGTTGCCAATCGTTTACAAATGATACATGATGTTTCATCCCCATCGCAGTGGTATCATGTTGATTCAGATCAGAACCCGGCAGATTACGCTTCCAGAGGAATACAGCTCAGAAGTGATAACGGTGATGACATACAGCGTTGGTTACATGGCCCAGCTTTCTTGTACCAGCCCGAGATACACTGGTCGAAACAACCAGATAATCTACATGAAATTCCAGAAAATGACAGAGAAGTGAAACGTAAATCAGCACAGATACACGTCACTACGTCGTCGGAAGTATTGGACGGTGTAGAGCGATTGTTACATCATTTCTCATCATGGTATGCGTTACAGAAATCAGTTGCCTGGATTTTGCGTTTCAAACGCTACTTATTGTCCCGCGTGAGACAATTGACAGTAGATAGAAACAATGGCCCATTAACAGTACAGGAAATCGCGCTTGCTACTGATGCCATCGTGATGTATGTACAAGCAAAGTCATTTCACAAAGAGTACAACGTTGTATCATCTGCAATGACCAAAAAACCCGATTCCAAGGGATGTGTGAGCCCATTGCGCAAGCTATCTCCGATCAAAATTGAAGGGATTCTGTGTGTAGGAGGACGTCTCCAGAATGCAGCGATATCTACCTCACAGAAACACCCGAAAATTCTTCCGCATGATCATCACGTCACTGAAATCATTGTGCGACACTATCACATTAAAGAAGGACATGTGGGAGCATATCACGTGTTATCTGTGATACGTCAAGAATTTTGGATAACGCGTGGATTGTCAACAGTGAAAAAAGTCATTCGCAAGTGCATGGTGTGCCGCAGATGGAATGCAGTTCCCAGTAGTCAAGTTATGGCCCCACGCTCCGACCAGCAAAGAACTTTGAAAAAGGTGACTTTGTTTTGCTTATTGATGAAAATGCCTTTCGTGGTCAGTGGCCTAAAGGACTGATAGAGGAAACTTTTCCTGATAAATACGGACATGTGCGCCAGGTGATTGTTAAAACAGCCAAGGGACGCTTTCGCCGTGATGTGCGAAAACTGTGTTTATTGGAAGGAAATTTTGTTTAATGTGCAATGCATTTAAGTGACAGTGACTTTATAGGACATTTTTTGAGTAAATTAAATAGTGTTTATATTTGATTANGAAGATGAAATGCAGTTCCCAGTAGTCAAAGCAGACCATTACTACGACCTACAAACTTTGTCACCTAACCAACTACTGTTGTTGCTTTCGAATCCCTGTTTGTCCGCTGACAATTTCACAGAACGTGATCAATATAATGAACAGTGGAAACACGCGCAGTTAATTGCAGACCAATTTTGGCAGCGATGGATTAAAGAATACTTGCCAGTGCTTCAAGAACGTCAGAAATGGCTCCGACCAGCAAAAAACTTTGAAAAAGGTGACTTTGTTTTGCTTATTGATGAAAATGCCTTTCGCGGCCAGTGGCCTAAAGGACTGATAGAGGAAACTTTTCCTGATAAATACGGACATGTGCGCCAGGTGATTGTTAAAACAGCCAAGGGACGCTTTCGCCGTGATGTGCGAAAATTGTGTTTATTGGAAGGAAATTTTGTTTAATGTGCAATGCATTTAAGTGACAGTGACTTTATAGGACATTTTTTGAGTAAATTAAATAGTGTTTATATTTGATTAGAAAGGCTATTTTGAATCTTGATTAAATCGCCTTTCGGTGGCCGGTATGTAAGGTTTAGTTTACTTTTGTTGTGATTGAGGAGCCTGGTGTCCGGCTCATCTAATGCACTTATTTGCATAAATGACAAGTTTTCATTCAGGGTGGTGCCCCATGAGTTTTGCACTTTATTTCATTCATCATAGTGTCTCCGTAGGAGGAACACATAGTACTCTTACTTTTGAATCTGTTATTTCTACTTGAAATTTATAGTTTAAAGGAATGGCAGAAATGGTGAGTTTTAATACTGTTTATTGATTATTATTGATTATTGATGATTAGTTATTTATTATTGGTGATTATTGAAATGTATAAGTTTTTTGAGTAAGTAAATTTGAACACGTAAATAACCCTTAGTAAGTACATTGTTGTAATTTTCTTTTTCTCTTCTTCTTTTTTAGTTTTTACGTGTCTTGTGAATCCATGTGAATAAACCAAGATCCAGTGAAAAACACATGCCTTTTCTTTGACTTTTATTTAACCTATATAACCCCTGCGTGTTATACCGCTACAGGAACAGTTGTCCGTTTCTCATTACTTTGTACAGGTGACATTCGTCCTATATACTAACCCCAATACTCCAACTAACCCTAACCTGGGCCCCGTATCTCGAAAGCATCGCGTATTGCGAATCGCTATATCAAATAGAGGCTACAATGTATTATATGGGACGAGTATGGGAGAGTTATGGAATTGAGATGCTTGCGCACGTGCGCAACATAGCGAAGCTTTCGAGATACGGGGCCCTGTACTGATCATATGGGACGCCATGCAGACTTCCTTTCCTAGGACTACAATTTCTGTCACACCTGTTAACATTAAAAGGTAAGTATTAATTTACTATTTTGCATTAACAAAAATGTACTAGGTGCCCATTGTTAGTTTGGTATAATTAGTCATAATTGGAAGAATTTGATCTCGCCTCTCTGTACCCCAACTACCAGTTGTCCAAGACGATTTATTACAATATCTTTGGGAGAGCAAATTCCATCTTCTTCTCTTAAAAGAATCTGCTTGAATTTCCCATCCGGTGACACCAGGTGTAGACGATTGTTGCAGAGGTCTGCTAGAATTATGTCTCCGTTATCCAAGCAGCACGTTCCGCACGGATCGATCACCTGTCCGTCTCCATCACCCTGGGTACCATATCTGTAATTTACCTGGAGATTGGAATTGTATACACGGATGCCATCATCTCCTGTGATAATCACGTCGTCATTCACGTCACAGTGGATGTATTTCAAACATTCCCCCTCTGGGTCTGGTGTTGTCTGCAAGACCTTGCCATCTTTGTGGTGCACAGTCAGAGTATTAAGACCGGCTACAACATAATGACCCTTGCTGTTGATCGCTACTGCTTCTGGTAACTCACTGTGGAATGTTCTGACGTGGTCCCCTGTCTTGGTGAAGACAATGATTTCATTTGACTCCCCACAATAAGTGACAATGTTACCGTCATCATCAATGACAATCCCACCAAACACATCCTTTTCTGTTGCTCTTGGATTAGGAATTGTTCCCTGTAGGACAAAGGTGTTATCGTAGATGTGGATTCTATTCCGTGCCTTGTCCTCATTACACCAAATACCAATTAGGATGTCACCATTTGTATCAGTGGTCACATGACTGATCATCTCCTCAGGACACGTAGTCAATGCTACTTTGAATGATGTCACCAATCTTCCACTGGCAGCGGGAACCACGTCTCTTAGGCAACTGTTAATATTGGTAACAAACTCCTCCATGTCGTTGGTGAGAAGCTGCATCTGGGTCATGACTGCAGGCAGGGTCGGGATGTCGATAGTCTGAATGCTCTCGCTGCTTTGCTCACAGGCAGAGACCATTTGCAGGACATCCATATCGTTCCCATGGTTTATGAGCTTTCTCGAGAAGTCTACAAAGTCATCCAGTCGGTTTTGGTTGGCGGTTGCAGTTGCAATTAAATCATTTAAAATATCTAATTTGGCATTCGACTTGGCGTCTATGTCTTCCAGAAGGTTATCGGCGCGTTGACTGACCATCCTAATAACAAGCTCTAACTGCTTTTTAACTTGACTCTTTGCCTTCTTTCTTCCCTCCTCTACTGACACTTTCTGGTCTTCAGCAGCGGTTTTGAACTGATCGAAGAGTAGACTTTTCTTCTCGATGGGCTTCACGTGGAATTGTAGTTTCTCCTTGTGTTTGTCAGCAGCAATGTTGATTCTTAGGCAATCGTGACCCTGGTGTTCTAAAACCATACAACCAACGCAGACAAACTTTTTACACACTGGACAGAAGATTTCTACGGGGTCCTTGTTGTTGTGGTCACAAAGGGTGTTTTGTCGGGCACGCAGCTCTGTCACGTATTCGTCGCTGTCAAATTGGTCGAGAGGAAACAATTTGTGGTCACGGCAGAACTTATGAAGGACATGGTCTGAAGAACAATCTGCACACATACTTTCCTCGCAGTCCAAACAGCGTTCTGTTGCCGTGGGTGGATTGAGGACATTTTTCAAACAACATATCGCGCATTTCTTGGCAGCCTTGGCTTGTTCTACTTGACCAAGTGTGTGTGATATGCTGACCAGAAGATGGTTTGTTTGTAAACCATTTACACCGCCCCCAGGGAGGTCACATTGACGCCTACAGATAGGACAAGGGAAGCCAGACTGACCTTGGAAATTTCTGTCCAAATAGTCTTGGAGGCAATGCTGGCAAAACGTATGTGTACAGCCGAGGACCTTGGGGTCTTTGAACTTTCCAAGGCATATGCTGCACGTTAAGAAATCTTCCGTTAGGATCTTGGACAGAGACATGACTCTAAGGACCAGTATCTTAAAAAAAGAGAAATTAAATTAGTCAATTATATGCTAAAGTATATGGTGGTGGAGGTAGACGTCATAATAATCAGATTTCTGTAAAATAGGGAATCGACAAATGTAATGTGGAAAAAGTAGTTGTGAGAATCGAATATAGTTATTTTTTTACATGCGTAATTCTATGATATTCATTCCTGTACAAATTCCAAAGAAAAGTACACACCGGTAGCTCACTTACATATATTGAAAAGATAATTTATAAAACCAGGCACGTCACGCATGCTAAATGACCCCAACGAATGCAATCCAACTATCCGAACTGATATATCAAAATATACACTTTGGGAGCTCGTTATCTAGCTTTAAAATGAGCTATGCGGTCGATGATCTCTGACGGCTATTCTGTATATTCAAGTAGACCCTGTCAATCAATCAATATGGCGTGAGTACTGCGTATCATCATTTTATTTTATGCTCTCGAGCGTCAGGACAACCAATTAGTTTCCAAACAAGATGCATAAAAAAGCTCGAGTGTCTGGTCAACCAATTAGACTATATGCCATGTACTATAATATATTGATCGGGCAAGGTTTGGCTTGTTATATTGTAATCTGGGAGGGGAAAAAGGGTACCAAAGAGGTTAAGGGAGGATCACGTGTCCGGTGTACCCAACCCAACCTCCCTTCACCCTCGGGTACGCTACTGTAAAAGTCCCTTGCATGGTTTGGTTTGGTTCATCAAATATTTTACAAGAGACTTGACTTCAGAGTGTTTCTATACCTTTTACCGCTGTGGATGCCTACAGTAACATTTTTTATACAGGCAAGATCTCAATATCACCCTGTCTAAGATGTTTATGCATTTCACTGAGATAAGCAATGCAGCTTTTAAAAGTATTTAAACATGCAATAACCTTTCGTGAAAGTAATTGTTATTCGAGTTTTCAATAATATTTTGACTAATAGACAATGTTTTACACTAAATTCTAAGTATGACAAAAAGCAGTATGCGAGCCTGAGAAAATGTATGAAAATATAACCTTTGCGGATTTTAGAACTTTGCTGCCATTCTCTCAAACAAAAAACCCTGGTATATCTTAAAGTCCAAAGAACCACCACAGGTTATGTCTACTACCCTGTTAATAAAACACTTCATATTACCCTTCTGGTATATTTGTATACAGTTGTTTTCTTAACGAGCACCCTTTATATCGAGTAACATTAAAGGAAGTAGTACCTCTTCTCCGCAACACAAATACTTTTTTGAAAAGTGTATATTAGAAATGTTTACTTTGTTTGGCTGTGCGTGCACATAAACCTTACCCTTTCGTTGCAGTAGGCGCAAGCAGACTAATATATGTTTTGCTAAAGGGGCTGAAACAACATGTATGACACTTTCATTTAAAGAAGCCGGTGTGAAGGGAATGGATGTCCGCCGTAATGCATGTCCGTAAGACATGTATTCCTAGGAATGATTCCTTGGATTCTTACTACTTGTATACATATTGTTCGGGTGACAGTTAATTATTTTATACTTGGTGCTTTGATGATAATTGGGCATATTTGAAGTTAGAGAGACATACTATGCAGTTTGAGAATGTAAATGAACAGTGTATAATTGTATAATAAATAAATTGAATGTGTCTGTTATTGTTTATACATGCATTTTTACTGTTAGTCTTAACATTGTTCTGAGCGCAATTTTTGCCTTTCATGCGGATCCCGATTTTCCCATTTTAATTCTTTGTATTTTTAGGTGAAAGTAGAAAGCATGTGCTCTTTTGCGTACAATTATCTAATGAAATTCGGCCACGACCTCGTATAATCTCCCTCGAGTTATTAAATAAATTCTAAAATAGCTCAACATTAGAAAAATGGAGATATTTAAATCAAACATTTAAAATCTCGCCTCATCAAAATAATCCAAATTGTATATAACAACATATAGTGCGTTTAGTTTGTTGAAATGGAGAATAAATCACGATAACATTTGAATATACAGTAACATCGCTGCTGAGGATTCGAACTCACTAACGTAGGACATGTTTTCCCGGGAACGGAGGTCCGTAGGACCTTCGTTCCTGGGGGACATGCATTCCTTTCACACCGGGACTTATTTTGTTAAAACATTGCTGTGATTGTTAACATACACATATAGTTCTGCAAGTAACACGGCCATAAAAGAGCTAGGGTTGAGTAGCTTACAAATAAAGAATACAGGTGAGCGTTTTCTTTTTTTCAATACCCTGAGTTCAATGCAGCGTAAGAAATAGAATAGCCATGTTTACCGTCGGCATGAGGCCTGGGAGAGAAATCAAAAGTTTTTCTGTTCTTTTTTTCTGAGCCACTCCAGTTAATAAAACGCTCAATTTCAGTCTAGACTAAAGTATGTCTCTTGTTGTATACTTTTACCTAAAACAAGATGGAATCTAAGGCTCTATTCCCATAGATTTTAGATCGATCTATCCCCGCGGGGAGTCTCACTAGATTACTTTCAGATAATCCGACTTAAATGTCCGTCCCGCCTACTACAAACTGTAAGGGGGTAATTAACTTTCGTGTCCGCCCGGCTGACGGCTATTTAGCGTGAACCCCCAGGGAGTTAGGTCGATCTACAGTAGGTCGATCTAATCTATGGAAATGGGGTGTAAAAGAGTCACGCAGAATCGACTGAGCCGTTGATATGGCGCCGCTAATTTCCTTAAATACTTAGCACATGTGTTTGTTACACATTTTACGCAATAACACCAATGTAGATATATTTCATATGCGAGAAGGCAGTTTAAATATAACCTTTATGTATAAGAAATGAAATATAATTTCCCCCTTACCTTTCACATGGGACTTTGACGACATACACGTCTCTGTTCAACTGGCAGCTGTGGCTTTCCTAACGACCTAGATTATAAAATGAAGAACAGGTGACCCTGAGGTAAACAAAACACGTCACTCCCATCCGATCTCATTCGTCGATGAGTAATCTGTAAGGAACGATACATTTCCGATTGTGAGCCTCGTTTCAAATCCTAACAGTATGGCTCCGCACGTGTCAGCAATATTCACTCGGCTCACCGTCGATTGATTCCTGCGTCATCATATCTCGGCCGTATGACAGACGTCGCCATTTTGGAAGTAGTGCAAACTACTCTAGATACCCGGATGTAAACAATAATAAACATGGCGGCGCCCTGACAGGACATTCAGAACTCCTCGACAATTTCCGTCACGTCAAGAACCAGGATGGACGGCGCCGCATCACTAATGTTTATTAAGACTCCAGTTAAGGTTACCGTCAAGCCTAGATCTTGCCTCCTTTGTCTGTCTAATGTGAAACGGCTACACCGTCTGTCCTATAAGGCCGCTTACCAAGGGAGATACGTCTCCAAAATCGAGGAGCTGACATCCCTGACACTCGATGCATCGCTCGTGTCTCAGACGTATGTGTGCGATAAATGCATGCACACAATCGAACTTTATCTCGAATTCAAGCGGGTATCAATTGCCAATATCTTAGAAAGTCAATCAAGTGAAGATGACACTGTCGTGCGGAAGAAGAGACTGCGCTCCACTCCTCAACAACAAACAAGGACAAGCCCAAGGTATAGCAATAATAATAATGATAATGTCAACAACAGCAGTAGGCCTAGTCCAAGCAGAGAGTCAGTTGCTGAACAAGTACAAAAATCTGTGGAGAAACTGAAGCGACTTAGGTTATCAGAGGAGAATGAATGTCACGCCAGACGAAAGCTATTGACCGATCATACCTACAGTGCAGTACCTACATTACAACTTGATGATGAAGAAAATGCTGATGATACTTTGTTAGCCGAGGATTTCTTAGAGGAGCTTGACATAAGGATTGAACCTGACATTGATATGAATATGAAAAGAATGGCAACACCGGGGCAGAGTGTCTGCTTTGAAAAGCATCCAAAACTTTTGTCTAATAAACACTGGTTTAGAGAAATACTGAAAGAGATGAAGTCCAAATGCCCAGGTTTACTCACAGTTTTATATTCTGCTATTGGTAAGCTTACCATTTTTGATTAAACTATACCTATTTAGGCTAATATCGATAATTGGGCACCTTATGAAGTAAAATGATGGGATAAATAAAATGATAATTGGCCTATATGTAGATAAAGGCAAGTCCACTATGTATAAAAATTACATGAAAGTGCCCTAGGACATGGCCAGTGCTTCAGATGTACATGTAAAACAAACAAGGTGTTTTGATGAAGTATTTGACCCCTTCCAGTATGTTCTATAAGATTTTAAACACATTTTAACTATTACAGGTGATAGAACTTCTCATGAGTCAAAAGTGGCAACAATAGGAACAATATATGGTATGCTTCTTCATAGTCGTAATTCAAAGGCCTGTTTAGTTCAGCGAATCCTGACAACTGCATGTATAAGATACCACGCAGACAATAAGGTGAAGTTATGCATGTATTTATTCTAGCTTTATCATTTGTTTTGATCTACATGTATGTACTTTGTTTACTTCAGTCAAGATAGAAAATGAGACAATGTATCACATTATCTATTTTGAATCTCATATTTTGCATGATTCTTTGTTATAGTTTTATTTATATGTATGATTAAACGAATCAAAAGTTAAGGCCAAACAACAACAACCAAACAACAACATTTTGTTGTTGTTGTTGGCCATTTTGCATGACATGATTTTATACTAACCTGAATTCAAATGTTTGTTCTTGTTAACACATGCATTTCTTTCTTTATTACATTCAACCATGATGATACTGAGGTCACAAGGATTATTTAAAGGGTATGAATTTTTTTTAAAAATCGTTCATGTTACCAAAAATAGATAAAGGATTTTTGATGTTACCTAATAGACTTTTTAATGGATTGAAATTTGAAAGAATGGAGGCGCACGATAATATGTCTCAAAGTGATCCTGTAATGTTTAACTGTTTCAGAAATAGTGCCTATGCATATTTTTAAGTTCATCATTCACTTTAAGTTATAGCAGTGGAGTTAAAGATTTTAACATCATTGTATATGATTGCTTTTATCTGGTTTTCAGCTTCTAGAACGCTTCAACAAGATCCATGTGACAATGTCACACGAATCCAAGAGGAATATTGTTGACGAATATGCTAGCTATTCAGAGGAAAGGATAATTCAATCTGTAGCAAAAGGAAAAGATTTCAAGTTGAATGGCGATAATTTGGACATTTATGTTTCAACGAACGACATCAGGATTGACAACAAGAACAGGGATTACCATTATTTCGCCTCAGATGTTACATTCGACAGAGTAGACACCAGCTGTCTGGATGACAGTAAACCTTTAGGTGACATTGATAGTGTCACATATAAGAACTTTGTTTCAAGTGTAGATGAAGATACAGTTTACAAAGATTCACTCAAAGTAATTCTTGCTAGGGTTCTCTGTGACAATGTCCCTGGATTTGGTTGGATGAAGGCAGTTATTCCAAAGCACATAGCCCACAATTTGGAAGATGTCATGTGCCAGAAATCTGAAATACACTGGTTGCCAATCATGCTAAAGAATGAAGCTTGTTATTCTGACTGTATTCAGATTATGGATGAATATGAAAAAATGATTACATCATGGTTCAACAAAGCACACCGAGGTAGCCTCTATGTTCATTTTTTAAATAATTCTAGCAATAATTTTGAACACTGTATATAAAGTATTAGCATGTTAAATTGTAAAATGTAGTCAGTGCCCAGTTCCTGTTGATTTTCATTATCACACTGTTAATTTAAGCAATGGTAATTTAAGCCATTATTTTTTATTTAAACAATATCTAGTTATATTTGAAGTTAATATTTCATTGCTCATAATGTTTCATTGATAGGTTCAGAACTATCTAAAGTTCAAGTTCCAGTTGGCGGCGATCAACTGACAAGAGTGAGACTAGAGGGGGCGAAGAACCTTAAAGCTGGTGCTCTAACAAAGACAGACCGCTTGGAACATTTGAACCCCATCATCATTGAGATGTTTCACACACGACAAGACTTACTTGAGGTATACACATTTTATGCCATTATTATGCCACTATTTTATTTACATGTAGTTGAAAATATCATGTTGTGACAATTAAAAGAGTACATATAAGTCCATTGAAACATAAGTTTTAAGTAGAAAATTACACTGTACATGTATATGAAAAATGCTCATGTGAAGGATTTATGATATCATAAATCAAGGTTATATTTCTCCTTTCAGAAACTATACAAAAACCTGTTCAAGAGTGAAAGTGGGAGAGATAAAGGCACCCTTTGTCACCTGAAGATTCTTATTGAGAGAAACAATGTGAATGGCAAAGTGAAGGGCCGTTTTGAGGTAAAAATATCTCAGAGTTACTCCTAGCTCATAAGTAAATTTTACAGTTCTATTATATTTACAATTTCATGGAGTTATCAGTCAATCGACAGTTTCAAGGAAATGTGTATGATTTTCTGAGGATTTCTACATTCCACAATGATAAACTGGTGCATATTAGACCTCATTTAAAGGACCAATAATCTTGGTGACACTGGTGGTTTGCAACCAAAAAAGGAAATCCTATTAAAAGAAAAGCTAATTGGTTGTTGCTGTCTTTTTAGGCTCACGAAGACTTCATTTTTACATCTGGCTGTGCATATTTCTTATCATTCATCATGGACCTCTTCCAAATGGAGACACTAGAAGATGACCCTAAACACCAACTTCTGAAATACAACATCAAGATGATGCATCTTAAAGACAAGGAGAAAATATTTAGTGAAATTATGACTATCATTACTGACAAGTTGGTTGTTTCATTTCCAAAAGAAGAACAAGTAGGTTTTGAAAGCTTCGTACATTTTGATTCACAGTATAAGCTTCAGATACAATGTGTGTACTATACATGTATATCGGTATTTTCCTCAAATTAATATCTTTGAGTACTTTGTCTGACAATCAATTTTTGCTTAATCACTAAAGAGCTAAAAGAAAATCATCTACATGAACCCTGCTTTGGTTGATATTAATGTAGTTTAGTATTATAACATATCTGTTGCATCTGCTTATATTGAATAATAATAATAATCTTTTCTTTTTCATTTAGGACAGCAAAATATTGCTACTGTTGACAGTCCTTGGACATCAACTCAAGGTTTATGCCAATAAAGATGGCAAACTTTTGGTATTTGATATCATCATTAACTCTATCAAGTATTCAATCAAGATTGATGAACAGAAGGCGAGACTTGGTTGCAGTGTACCACTGCCTAATGGTGTTTCCATTTTTGTGGTAACCAGTGATGAGCATGATGATCTATACAACTATGCCAGTCAACTCTTACAGTGGTATTTCCTGATACTTAGTATGAAAGATGCTATCAAAGAAGGAGACACGATAAGGAATAATATCCATCTGAAGTTCTCTATTCCAATATTCTTCAAGCACTCGCCACTCTCCAAGTATATGGAAGAGTGTATAGATTACATTTTCAAGACAGAGGTGATACTTTCCGAGAAGATGGCTCTCAGAGTTAAGGCCGGCTCCTTTGTGAACTTGTCAGGGAGGAAGGGTGAAAACAAGGCTGCAGACCTCCATAAAGAAAATGAAGTTCTTGTCCTAAAAGAACTCATCCGGGGACTAGGAGCGAATAAAACCGAGAAGTCAATTGTGAGAGTGTCAAAATCAGCCCTTGTCATTAGAGATGTTACAGCCAATTTTGACAAGATGCTTTGCATCCCAGAGAAAAAGACACGCCACAAAAAACGGTCTTTCGAAAATGATGTCAAGGCAATATTAAAAGTCATTGTTCCTCTTAAAATATGGAAGAAAGAAAGGGGTAGAGCACTGGCACATTACAGAAATATTGACTGTTCACCCTTCACCATAGACAGGACTAAGTTCCAAACAACAGTTAACGGGATTATAGGTCGTCTTAAGAGGGGCATTGTAATCCCTCAATGTGAAAGTGATGAAGAGACTGATGACAGCAGCTAGCAGTGGTGGCTCCAAGGGGGGCGCCAGGGGGGCCATGCCCCCCCCCCCAAAGGTTCTCCAAAAAAAAAAAAAAAAAAAAAGAAGAAAAAAAAGATTTAAAAAACTCAAGTCATTCAAATAACAGCACTTTTAGGTAGCTACCCAGCAGACAGGTTGGGTGATAAACATTTGATTTCTGGTGATGAAGCCGTGACAACTATGTACTGTAGTTGAATTTTATCATGAAGCAAAATCACTACATAATCACGTGTTAGCCTAAGGCTCGTTTCCATGTGTGTGCAGGTGCGGGTGCGAGTACGACTACAATGTAAAATATAGATTATTATTATATTTATGTGCGCGTCTTGTTTCTGCCGCATGGGAAGTTTTGCTTCAATGTAGATATGTATCATAGAGGTGATTTCATGGCAAAATTTAATTTCAGAAAATCCCTATTTCAGTTCAAGTTATATGTAATTAAATTATATTTAGATGTCTTAAAATTATATTAAGTGAATATTTAAGTAAATTACATTAAACTTCTATACAAATCAAGTCAGATGTCAGTGTATAGTAAATGTATTTAGATGTCCAAGTTAAAATTACATTAAAGTTCTGCAGGATGTTTTCAGGACTGAATAACTTCATTTATGGCTTCATCTTCTAGTTTAAGTTTAAATCAGCCTTGATCTAATTGTGTTAAAGGTCTCCTGCAATATGTCTTAATTCTGTTAATTGGCTTCAATATCTCTGACTTGCTTAAGGAATCACTGCAATGTAATGGTCCTTGTGTATAAGTATATAAGGAGAAGAATTTGCAATATACTGTCATTAGAGTCTTGTGTCTTCACGTGAAGTAGTCAGAAGTAGTATAGAGTAGAACATATAGTCAGCAGATAGATGTGGACCAGTGACACCAATACCTGGATTATACAGAATAAAGGTGGAGATCACATAGATTGTAGTGAGTCTCTAGAAACATAACTACGGCTTGGTGTTATATATTTGCAAAGAAATTTTAAGAAACTAAGACTACAGGAGCTGATGTTGAGTCACTGAGGGGTGACAAGTACTAAGATCGGTGATCTTCTGACCTGACCTGTCAGTGGTCACAAGGTGCATCAGTGAACCCAAACATAATTTCTTGGGAGGGTCAACTTCGGAGATTTTCACATCTGCTGACATAAAGTCAGAAAGTAAGAATAACTTTATCTATTAAAATTTAGTATTATCTTTAACCCTTTCCAATGTAGAATAGCCCCTCAAAAACCCTCAGAATTAATATCCAGCCATTAACATCCATTGGCTTCTGGGGGCCTAAAGCGGCCCCCAGGCCCCCTGGCCCTGTGGCATCGGCCCTTTGGGCCTTGCCTTTGGCCCCCTCCAAATGAAAGTTCTAGAGCCGCCACTGGCAGCTAGGTAGGTATAGTATTTGAAATCTAAAATTTAATTCTCACGAAAATATATATACAGGTATCATACAATCAATCTGATGCCAATTTTTATAAATCTTATTGAAAAACAAATCTGTCCCAATGAGTAGTTTTGAGATTGGTTTAGATGTAGTAATTTAGCTGCTACCTCTACAATTTGAACAACAGTTGTGCCTTTCTCCTTTGTATAAAACTTCATCAAATCCAAAGTAATTCACTAGTGTCCTCCTGTAGCAGCCATCCTGTTTACAAAATTGAGCCATTACATCAGACAAACCTTTCCTATTTTTAGCAATATCACTGTTGTTGTAATACATGATGGCATGGGCAGGTTGACCAGCTCTACCAGCACGCCCTATCTCTTGTTGATACTTTTCTAATGTTGTGGGTGGCCGAGAGTGTATTATCCTTTCAACACTTGGCGCATTAATGCCCATACCAAGAGCCACTGTGGCCATAACAAGACGTATAGTGGGATTTGGTTTCACTAGTTCTCCAATAATTAACTGTTTCATGTCATCGGGGTAATCCTTGTGATATTGTCCAAAGATTCGATTTTGTGGAATCTGTTCACCTTTGTAGCCCTTTTCTTGTAGATGGTATGAAACAAACTGGTAGAAATATCCTAATGACTCCAAGTTATCCACATTAATTATAGTAACTGGGAAATCGTGTTGTTTTTCCTTCAGTTCTTCAGCGATTGGCTGAATTATTCCATCTAGCTTTTCAAACTTATGAATGTTTGGTAATCTTTTGCAGATTTCGATGTAGATGTTGGGTCTATCAACATTAGCGGAGACTACGACATGATCTTTAAAGTTGAGTAACTTGACTAGGCTCTTTACTGCTGCAGGTGTTGCCGTAGCTGTTAATACCAGATGTCTGCTTCCATCAAACACACAAATAAGCTCACCAAGCTTTTTAAAGGCCGGACGAAAGTCATCTCCCCTGCAAAACAGACGAGAAGAGAATTTGCTATGAGGCATTATATTCATTGTGTAATAAGTTTTTCAGTCTAATAGTGAATTTAATAAAGTTAAATAATTATTCTATTGAAGGTCAATCCTTGGAGTGTAACCCTACTGAACTGCCTCTGAAAACACTGATCACACTATCAAATCTTACCATTCAGATATCATATGAACTTCGTCAATAACAACCGCACAGACAAGTTCTTGATACACTTTCCTTCTAATAACTTGAGCAAACTTTGTTTTTTGGAATGTCTCCGGATGAGCATATATTATTTTGTAGGCACCCTTTTCAATCATGTCAAACGGCACATCACATTCCAGGACTGCCCTGTCTTCCAAATTGTTTCCTTCCTCATCGTCACTAGAAACTTCATCACCGCCAGCTTCATTATATGTCATTCCTTTTGTACCTAAATGTAGATTGAAACAAGATATTGTAAATATTAATACTAAAATGTGTGTAAACTAACATAATTGATTTGGTCTGATTTAAATTAATATAGCCTATATTACTCTATCTAGTCAATAATATTTATATAATACATTTTGTTGATGTTATCACTTAGCTTATTATTAGACTAATTCTGTATCTCTGACTTACTAGTAGGCCTGTAATATAGGCTGATTATTTTACTAGGGGTAGTCGAAGTTGTATCTTCTCTTTTAGTTGTCAAATAATTACACATTGCTCTTTATCATGTTTATTTAGGCATAATAAATAATTATACATTCTTACTATTCTTAACAAATTCTTTCCTCATTTTAATTATATATTCATCGTTGTTGTTATTAAATCAAGAGCAGCAATAATAACCCTATTTGTTATTAATATTGTGATTTAAATTCTGTGAGAGAAGAGGAAGAAAACGAAGGGGAATCTACCTGATATATTGATAGTACACGCAGCTATGCCTACTCTTCTCAAATTTGAAATCTGGTCTTGTATTAGGGAGTTTAGTGGGGAAACCACCAAGACGATCATCGGTTGTTTTTTTCTTAAGTTTATGTTGGAGAAACCAAGGCAGCAACTGAAAAATTACGCTCTTCCCATAGCCAGTTGGTAAAATGGAGGACACGCAGTCTTTTCCTTCGAACAATATCCTCAGTGTTTCCAGTTGTTTTTCACGTAGTTTGAAGTCTTGATCTTTAAAAAGTGGGCAGGAAGATAGTGCATATTCAATACATTCGTCGAATGACGCCATATTTGTTAGATCCACGTGTTTTGGGGGAACTATATTGTTTTGATTGCGGTATACATTAGTGATGCGGCGCCGTCCATCCGGGTTCTTGACCTGATCACATATGTTGTGCGTAGGCGACATTTTTTACTGTCATACATCCGAGACTAGTTTCAAGGCGTTCGGAAGATAGCCGGAAATTGTCGAGGAGTTCCGAATGAGCAATATTCGCTAGGCGAGAACGTGATGAAGCATTATCACTTCACTGCTCGCTTCACAAAGTATTAATTGATCTTAAAATTTGTATTATCACATGAATTGTCGTATGATTATCTACCAAAGGAATTGAGAAGCGTGTTTTCTGAATGCGGGTGAAAAATGACAAAACTCAACAAATAACTAATGTGCAATGTGTGAGTCAAGTCACATCTACTGCAATACATCATCATGGCCGTTGTTGTACCACCGTCTCCGGATCATAAAGCTTCTAAAAAGTCTCCTCACACGTACCATCGGGTATAATGTATACCGTAACCAATTAAGTGTTTAACATTCTGCTAAAGGAGCTTACTGAAGATGCTCTTAGATGCGATGTAGTTCGCTCATACAAATCTGTCATAATTATATCGAATCGGTAATCGGGAACCAAGATCTTTCTGAGTCGGTTAAGAGGTCCCACGAGTAACTTTTTACGTATTTAAATTCCGCCGTATACCTATGGCCCCTGTACAAATTTGGCAAAGACTAGCACACGATTTCGTAGTGTAATTTTTGTGATATTCGGAGAGAATTGAAGTAGCAAGCAAAGAAAATGGCTGAGGGACACTACAGCCAGACGCAAAGGGCACGTGAGGCGGCATTGGGTTTAAGTCCATATTTGGTCTTACGTTAATGACATAGACTTTTCAAGGGAAACTGTGAGGATAATCCAGGAGGGTTAGAAAAATTTATGACAAAAACCGCAAGGGGTCCCTTAGAAGAGATTGGGGAAATTTGTTGAAAGGGACTGTCTAGCAAACGATTCCAAGACATTTTCCGCGCTCTTTGTCCTTTTTCTGCATGAACCAGAAAAATTCAAATCAGAATCAGAAATTAGTCGTAGCCGAATTAGGAAAGCACTATCAACATTGTGTATCCACAGGAACTGTTTTGTATTCACTAAACCGTCTCACGAAATCTAATCTTCTACATGCTGATTTACCCCTCCTTTAAATACGCAACAGGACCCCCAGAAAGTTATCGATTCCTGCGTTGCTCACGATGAAATTCTCCGCTTTGGGAAATCTGCGTCAGGGGAGACGTATGTGGCAGAGGCGAAAACTGTGCTCCTGGACGGAAATCTGCGTTCAGACAGAAATCTTAACTACGACCGAAATCTTTGCTCGGATAGAAATATGTGTCAGGATCAGGGATACTTATTCCGCGCAATTGAACGGAACTACAACTTTTCCATCCTTTACTTTAAACCCGATTAATTTACACACAGACAACAATTACAAATATTCAGATTGAGAATGCAACAATATATTAATATTTGAAAAATGTTATATTGATAATTTAATTAATGAGATATAGATTGATTAAACAATTAACTTTTCAATTAAATTTTCCCATTCGAACAATTTATAACAAACGCCTCTCTGTCCTCTCAGAATGATACATGCATTGCAACAGTGTAAATACATAAAGAAAATAATTTTAAACATCAATACAGTAGATTATTTTACAGGGGAAACAATTCTCTAAAACTGAAAAAAATAATAGAGGAGTGATACTTGTAACAGTATAAACATTGACATATTCAGAATCCAGTTGCTTTGACATATTTCTTCTTTCCCAAAAATTACAGATGCTAATTTTTTTCAGTCATTTCCAGTATAACCAGGTAACAATTAATGTTTTTATTACAACAATATGCGTGGTGCACAAATACAGATTTACAATATTCTGTGATATCATATGCCTGTTTAGTTACAGATAACAATTTTCGCCCTTAAAGGATATGCAACCAATGGGCCGAGGAATTATACTGAAACAAAACGTTTATGGTCCACGTCTCATAAGTTTTACACGAGGCCGGCTGACATTACATTGTAAGTAAGAATCGATTTAGTCTTTTGTATTATCAATCATATAATCGGTGTCCATTGTTAGTTTGATATCATGAGTCATAACTGGAAAACTTTAATCCCACCTCTCTCTTCCCCGACTACCAGTTGTCCAAAACGATTCAGTACTACATCTACAGGAACGCGAATTCCATCTTCTTTGCTTAAAAGAATCTGCTTGAATTCCCCATCTGATGACACCAGGTGTAGACGGTAGTTGCCGGGGTCTGTTACAATTATGTCTCCATTATCCAAGCAGCACGTGCCGCACGGCCTGCCCACCTGTCCATCCCCAGCACCCTGGGTACCATATCTGTATTTGAGCTGGAGAGTGGAATCGTAGACAACGATGTGATGAGATGCTGGATCTGAAACTATGGCGCCATCATTCACGTCACAGTGGATGTGTTTGGTATATTTACCCTCTGGGTCTGGTGCCGTCTTCAGGACCTTGCCATCCTTGTGGTGCACAGTCAGGGTATTGAAACCGGCTACAACATAATGACCCTTGCTGTTGACCGCTACTGCATGTGGTGACTTACTGTGGAATGATCTGACTTGGTCCCCTGTTTTGGTGAAGGCAATGATTTCATTTGATCCCTGACATCTAGTGACGATGTTACCGTCATCATCAATGGCAATCCCGGCAAAGGGGTCCTTTTCTGCTGCTCTTGGGTTAGGAATCGTGTCTTGTAGGACAAAGTTGTTGTCGTAGATGTGGATCCTATTCCGTGCCTTATCCTTACAAAAATACTAATGAGGATGTCGCAATTCGCATCGGTGGTCAAGCGACTGATCACTTCCTCGGGACACTTGCTCAGTTCTTCTTTGAATGATGTCACCAATCTTCCACTGGCAGCGGGAACCACGTCTCCAAGGCAACTGTTGATATTGGTAACGCACTCCTCCATGTCTTTGGTGATAAGCTGGAGCCTGGTCCTGGCTGCAGGCAGGGTCGGGATGTCGATAGTCTGAACGCTCTCGACGCTTTGCTCACAGACTGGGGCCATTTGCAGAACATCCATATCGTTCCCGTGGTTTATGAGCTTTCTCGAGAAGTCAACAACGTCGTCCAGTCGGTTTTGGTTGGCGGTTGCAGTTTCAATTAATTCATTTAAAGTATCTAATTAAGCATTCGATTTGGTGTCTATTTCTTTCAGAAGATTATCGGCATGTTGACTGGTGAGCTGAATTATTAGCTCTAACTGCTTCTTAACTTGAGACTTTGCTGTCTTTCTTCCTTCTTCTACTGATGCTTTCTGGTCCTCAGCAGCGGTTTTGAACTGATCGAAGAGAAGACTTTTCTTCTCGATGGGCTTCACGTGGAATTTTAGTTTTTCCTTGCGTTTGTCAGCAGCAATGTTGATTCTTAGGCAATTGTGCCCCTGGTGTTCTAAAACCATACAACCAACGCAGATGAACTTTTTACACACTGGACAGAAGATTTCTACGGGGTCCTTGTTGTTGTGGTCACTAAGGGTGTTTTGTCGGGCACGCAGCTCTGTCACGTAATCGTCACTGTCAAACTGGTCGACAGGAAACAGTTTGTGATCACGATTTAACTTATGAAGCAGTTGGTCTGAAGAACAAGCTTCACACATACTTTCCTTGCAGTCCATACTTTCCTTGCCGTGGGTGGATTGAGGACATTTTTCAGACAACACACTTTACATTTCTTAGCAGCCTTGGCTTTTTCTACTTGACCAAGTGTGTGTGATATGCTGACCAGAAGATGGTTTGTTTGTAAACCATTTACACCGCCCCCAGGGAGGTCACATTGACGCCTACAGATAGGACAAGGGAAGCCAGACTGACCTTGAAAATTTCTGTCCAAATGGTCTTGGAGGCAATGCTGGCAAAACGTATGTGTACAGCCGAGGACCTTGGGGTTTTTGAACTTTCCAAGGCATATGCTGCACGTTAAGAAATCTTCCGTTAGGATCTTGGACAGAGACATGACTCTAAGGACCAGTATCTTAAAAAAAGAGAAATTAAAATTAGTCAATTATATGCTAAAGTATATGGTGGTGGAGGTAGACGTCATAATAATCAGATTTCTGTAAAATAGGGAATCGACAAATGTAATGTGGAAAAAGTAGTTGTGAGAATCGAATATAGTTATTATTTTACATGCGTAATTCTATGATATTCATTCCTGTACAAATTCCAAAGAAAAGTACACACCGGTAGCTCACTTACATATATTGAAAAGATAATTTATAAAACCAGGCATGTCACGCATGCTAAATGACCCCAACGAATGCAATCCAACTATCCGAACTGATATATCAAAATATACACTTTGGGAGCTCGTTATCTAGCTTTAAAATGAGCTATGCGGTCGATGATCTCTGACGGCTATTCTGTATATTCAAGTAGACCCTGTCAATCAATCAATATGGCGTTAGTACTGCGTATCATCATTTTATTTTATGCTCTCGAGCGTCAGGACAACCAATTAGTTTCCAAACAAGATGCATTAAAAAGCTCGAGTGTCTGGTCAACCAATTAGACTATATGCCATGTACTATAATATATTGAGGCAAGGTTTGGCTTGTTATATTGTAATCTGGGAGGGGAAAAAGGGTACCAAAGAGGTTAAGGGAGGAACACGTGTCCGGTGTACCCAACCCAACCTCCCTTCACCCTCGGGTACGCTACTGTAAAATTTCCTTGCATGGTTTGGTTTGGTTCATCAAATATTTTACAAGAGACTTGACTTCAGAGTGTTTCTATACCTTTTACCGCTGTGGATGCCTACAGTAACATTTTTTATACAGGCAAAATCTCAATATTACCCTGTCTAAGATGTTTATGCATTTCACTGAGATAAGCAATGCAGCTTTTAAAAGTATTTAAACATGCAATAACCTTTCGTGAAAGTAATTGTTATTCGAGTTTTCAGTAATATTTTGACTAATAGACAATGTTTTACACTAAATTCTAAGTATGACAAAAAGCAGTATGCGAGCCTGAGAAAATGTATGAAAATATAACCTTTGCGGATTTTAGAACTTTGCTGCCATTCTCTCAAACAAAAGACCCTGGTATATCTTAAAGTCCAAAGAACCACCACAGGTTATGTCTACTACCCTGTTAATAAAACACTTCATATTACCCTTCTGGTATATTTGTATACAGTTGTTTTCTTAACGAGCACCCTTTATATCGAGTAACATTAAAGGAAGTAGTACCTCTTCTCCGCAACACAAATACTTTTTTGAAAAGTGTATATTAGAAATGTTTACTTTGCTTGGCTGTGCGTGCACAAAAACCTTACCCTTTCGTTGCAGTAGGCGCAAGCAGACTAATATATGTTTTGCTAAAGGGGCTGAAACAACATGTATGACACTTTCATTTAAAGAAGCCGGTGTGAAGGGCATGGATGTCCGCCGTAATGCATGTCCGTAAGACATGTATTCCTAGGAATGATTCCTTGGATTCTTACTACTTGTATACATATTGTTCGGGTGACAGTTAATTATTTTATACTTGGTGCTTTGATGATAATTGGGCATATTTGAAGTTAGAGAGACATACTATGCAGTTTGAGAATGTAAATGAAACGTGTATAATTGTATAATAAATAAATTGAATGTGTCTGTTATTGTTTATTCATGCATTTTTACTGTTAGTCTTAACATTGTTCTGAGCGCAATTTTTGCCTTTCATGCGGATCCCGAATTTCCCATTTTAATTCTTTGTATTTTAAGGTGAAAGTAGAAAGCATGTGCTCTTTTGCGTACAATTATCTAATGAAATTCGGCCACGACCTCGTATAATCTCCCTCGAGTTATTAAATGAATTCTAAAATAGCTCAACGTTAGAAAAATGGAGATATTTAAATCAAACATTTAAAATCTCCCCTCATCAAAATAATCCAAATTGTATATAACAACATATAGTGCGTTTAGTTTGTTGAAATGGAGAATTAATCACGATAACATTTGCATATAGAGTAACATCGCTGCTGAGGATTCGAACTCACTAACGTAGGACATGTTTTCCCGGGAACGGAGGTCCGTAGGACCTTCGTTCCTGGGGGACATGCATTCCTTTCACACCGGGACTTATTTTGTTAAAACAATGCTGGGGATCCTGCCTATTTCTTACAATACTGACGAGTTGTTGTGATTGTTAACATACACATATAGTTCTGCAAGCAACACGCCCATGAAAGAGCTAGGGTAGTTTACAAATAAAGAATACAGGTAAGCGTTTTCTTTTTTTCAATACCCTGGATTCAATGCAGCGTAAGAAATAGAACACCCATGTTTACCTTCGGCATGAGGCCTGGGAGAGAAATCAAAAGTTTTTCTTTTCTTTTTTCTGAGCCACTCCAGCTAATAAAACGCTCAATTTCAGTCTAGACTAAAGTATGCCTCTTGTTGGTTGAAGACGCGTAGTTGAAAATGTGAAGTATACTTTTACCTAAACCAAGATGGAACCTAAAAGAGTCACGCAGAATGGACTGAGCCGTTGAAATGGCGCCGCTAATTTCCTTAAATACTTAGCACATGTGTTTGTTACACATTTTACGCAATAACACCAATGTAGATATATTTCATATGCGAGAAGGCAGTTTAAATATAACCTTTATGTATAAGAAATGAAATATAATTCCCCTTACCTTTCACATGGGACTTTGACGACATTCACGTCTCTGTTCAACTGGCAGCTGTGGCTTTCATAACGACCTAGATTATAAAATGACGAACAGGTGACCCTGAGGTAAACAGAACACGTCACTCCCATCCGATCTCATTCGTCGATGAGTGATCCTCGTTCCGATTGTGAGCCTCGTTTCAAATCCTAACACTATGGCTTCGCACGTGGAAGCAATATTCGCTAGGCGAGAACATGATGAAACGTTATTGCTTCACCGCTCGCTTCACAAAATATTTAATGATCTTAAAATTTTGTATTATCACATGAACTGTCGTATGATTACCTACAGAAGGAATTGAGAAGCGTGTTTTCTGAATGCGTGTGACATATGACAAAACTCAACAAATAACTAATGTGCAATGTGTGAGTCAAGTCACATCTACCGCAATACATCATCATGGCCGTAGTGGTATCACCGTCTCCGGATCTTAAAGATTCTAAAAAGTCTCCTCACACGTACCATCGGGTATAATGTCAAACGTACCGTAATCAATTAACTTTTTAACATTCTGCTAAAGGAGCTTACTGAAGATGCTCTTAGATGCAATGTAGTTCGCTCATAATAAATCTGTCATAATTATATCGAATCCGTAATCGGGAACCAAGATCTTTCTGAGTCGGTTAAGAGGCCCCATGAGTAACTTTTTACGTATTTAAATTCTTCCGTATACCTATGGTCCCTGTACAAATTTGGCAAAAACTCGCACACGATTTCGTAGAGTAATTTTTGTGATATTCGGAGAGAATTGAAGTAGCAAGCAATGAAAATGGCCGAGGGACACTACAGCCAGACGCAAAGGGCACGTGAGGCGGCATTGGGTTTAAGTCCATATTTGGTCTTACGTAAATGAAATAGATTTCTCAAGCGTAACTGTGAGGATGCTCCAGGTGGGGTAGAAAAATTTATGACAAAAACCGCAAGGGGTCTCTTTGAAGAGATTTTGGAAATTTGTTGAAAGGGACTGTCTAGCAAACGATCCCAAGACATTTTCCGCGCTCTTTGTCCTTTTTCTGCATGAACCAGAAAAATTCAAATCAGAATCAGAAATTAATCGTAGCCGAGTTAGGAAAGCACTATCAACATTGTGTATCCACAGGAACTGTTTTCTATTCACTAAACCGTCTCACGAGATCTAATCTTCCACATGCTGATTTACCCCTCCTTTAAATACGCAACAGGACCCCCAGAAAGATATCGATACCTGTGTTGCTCACGATGAAATTCTCCGCTTTTGGAAATCTGCGTCAGGGGAGACGTATATGGCAGAGGCGAAAACTGTGCTCCTGGACAGAAATCTGCGTTCACACAGAAATCTTAACTACGACCGAAATCTTTGCTCGGATAGAAATATGTGCCAGGATCAGGGATACTTATTCCGCGCAATTGAACGGAACTACAGCTTTTCCATCCTTTACTTTAAACCCGATTAATTTACACACAGACAACAATTAAAAATATTCAGATTGAGAATGCAACAATATATTAATATATGAAAAATGTTATATTGATAATTTCATTAATGAGATATAGATTGATTAAACAATTAACATTTCAATTAAATTTTCCCATTCGTACAATTTATAACAAACGCCTCTCTGTCCTCTCAGAATGATACATGCATTGCAACAGTGTAAATACATAAATAAAATAATTTTAAACATCAATACAGTAGATTATTTTACAGGGGAAACAATTCTCTAAAACTGAAAAAAAAAAATAATACAGGAGTGATACTTGTAACAGTATAAACATTGACATATTCAGAATCCAGTTGCTTTGACATATTTCTTCTTTCCCAAAAATTACAGATGCTAATTTTTTTCAGTCATTTCCAGTATAACCAGGTAACAATTAATGTTTGTATTACAACAATATGCGTGGTGCACAAATACAGATTTACAATATTCTGTGATATCATATGCCTGTTTAGTTACAGATAACAATTTTCGCCCTTAAAGGATATGCAACCAATGGGCCGAGGAATTATACTGAAACAAAACGTTTATGGTCCACGTCTCATAAGTTTTACACGAGGCCGGCTGACATTACATTGTAAGTAAGAATCGATTTAGTCTTTTGTATTATCAATCATATAATCGGTGTCCATTGTTAGTTTGATATCATGAGTCATAACTGGAAAACTGTAATCCCACCTCTCTCTTCCCCGACTACCAGTTGTCCAAAACGATTCAGCACTACATCTACAGGAACGCGAATTCCATCTTCTTTGCTTAAAAGAATCTGCTTGAATTCCCCATCTGATGACACCAGGTGTAGACGGTAGTTGCCGGGGTCTGTTACAATTATGTCTCCATTATCCAAANATTGCAGCTAACACCAACCAAGGTCATTTTCAGACACATAACATTCCCAATATAATATATTACGATATATTAAGAGTCAAATTTACCTGTACTTTCACCAGTTATACATGTATTTCTCTTCGTGACAGGTACACGTCCCCAGTCGCCATTTAGGTGTGTTGTCTCTCTTGACACGTACACCTGGTCAGGTGAGGCGTTCAATGTTCAAGGAGACGTTAAAGACACTGTAATCAGCAATATGAAACTTAATGTTTGTACAATACAGACATGGTTACATATTTTATCGCTGTTATCTGACTGAATCCAATTGTGTGCACTGATACAACTGTCCTAGTAGCAGTTATGTATAAGATATATTTAATACAGCAGGTGACATATAGATATATTACAGTTGCCCGCATTGGGACATTAACCCTTATGTTGTATTTTGAATTTACTTGAGATGATATAATTGAGATTATTGAAATTTAGCATATATCTTTTGTCTTACCGGTGGCAGTTATGATGTACACAGTCTAATTAATATATTGCCGTATACATGTATGAATTATATGATGAAACAGGGCCGTAGCCTCCGGGAGGGGGGGGGGGGGTCAACTGCCCCCCTCTTTGGGATTTGAGGTGTAAAAACAATAATAATAATCGCAAAGGTAAAAAAAAAAAAATAATTGCAAAGTTGGTATTAATTCTGTGAGAAAATGCACGGATTGGCTCTCTTGCTTATCCACAGAGGAAGAAACGTTATTCCTGATCCTGAGACAATCTACGGAATGAAGTCCAATTGGCGTGTTGTGTTGAAAAAATGACTGTACTTATGGCAAAATGAACCCACAATTTCTGACTTCTGATTGAGCAATAAATAACAGTTAAAATGTACCAGAATGCAGTATTATACATACAGTTTTTAAAAATTTTCCACACCTCCCACACCCTCCCCCCCTCGGGAGCTTCGCCCCCTCGTGTCCGCTTACTGCCCCCTGGCATTTTGCTCAGGCTTCGGCCCTGTGAACAATAGGAAGAGTACAGGGACTAGGGATGTCTCAACAACCGCAATCAATGCAGCATCCCCTCCACCGCATTATACCTTATACTCCCGTCACATAATAGGCGGAATGAGCAAGAATGCAGTTGGAAAAAATTCTTTGTGCGTTACTGGATATTCGAAGAGCATTCTAAAGATTCCGAGTGCATTCCAAATATTTGTACCCATTCTTGACGCCGGCCCGAATGTTTTGCTCGTGTTAAAAACTTTCGAAGTGCATTCCAAGTGGAAAATTATCGAATGGCAATTGAATAGTATTCTAACTGCACTATGACTGCATTCTAAATATTCTCACGACATTCCGACAGCATTTGAAACATTCTGATCACTTTCGAGGGAGAACCGAAATGGCAAGACACTTCAAATTCTGCTAGAATGAGCCAGGATGCAACTTGAATGCATCTCGATCCTATTTCAGCGGCATACGAGGAGTATTCTAAATATTCTGACAGCATCATTGATATTCCTAGTTTTCCGACTACATTCGAGCTGCATTTGAGAGCTAATACAGCCAAAATGTGCACAAATCATCCAGGCGAATCCAAGCGCATTCTGAGTATTCCAACAGCATCCTTCCAAGAATTTATGTAAATTTGAAATTTCTTCCCGAATATAGTACGAATTTTTAAATTTAGTCAATCCGACTGGTTCTGCTTGATTCCTGCTAATTCCGAATAAATGTGACGGGGGCTTTAGTTTGCAGATGATCGTTGTGCATATAGGGCTAAATTGTTCCTGACTGAGGTGGAAACGATGCTCAAACAAAAGCAGCATTTTACATAGCCCAGAGTGTGAATACCTAGGTGACGATATATCATTTTTACGAAACCAGTTCTAGAACGTTAAGAGACAGGTTAAGGTTAAACAGAGAGGACAGGGTGTCAACATTTTCAGTAATAGCCAAGGTGCACTTAATAAGCGGTTAGTCATAAGTTCTGTGGCTGTCTGGGCGATACGCGATAATGAAATTTCTATGATCCAACCGGTAACCTTATGTTTAAAACCATATGTTGCGTTAGTTATTTTCCAATAAATAAAAAAATAAATAAATTAATTAATTAATTAAAATTAAAATTAAAATAATAAATAAAAATGAATTAAATAAAAACATAACAAATGGAAAAAAACTGCAGTAAAATTCTACTTACGAGAAACGGATAACGACCGAGACTTAATTGTCGGGTTTACAAAATGTTCGCGATCACCTGGGTGGTGAAAGTGTCACACTCCGATGCGAATGTCCGATATCAAGTATGCATATAACAAGGAAGAAATCGTTAACGGTTAAATGACAAGAAGTGTTAAGAAGCACAACACGTGTTCACATGAATTCCGATAACCATATCAACTTCTTTTTTTCTTTTAAGAGTAATAAATGGCAGTGCAGTTACACAAGTAAAATATTGCAGTAATACTGTCTTCATAAATATCCATTACCTGTTTGTGTGTGTTCTACCCCACTTGTTATTTTATTCGTAACTACTAACTACTTAGTAACTAGTAAGTTAAATCTCCCTTTTATACAATCAAGACTGATAGTGGACTTAACACTGTGCCACAACAAATGTGAAAGCCCAACGCACAAAATGCATTCTTAAATCCTTTCTTAAAAATAAAAAACTTTAAGAAAAGTATTTCGCGATGCTTGATCATTTCAAAAATAGGGGTGCCTTTCCTAGCCCTTTGATTAAACCAATTTTCTTTCTAAAATTA